GCAAATTTGAAATCCGTGAGACAATATATAAAATGAGCGAAAAGGAAGAACATGTTTCTTTAGATTCAGTGCTACAAAAATTAAAAGACAGAAATATATTTGAAATTTCCAGAACAAGTCTCTGGAGAGTTTTAAGACAGATTGGCTTTAAGTTCAAAAAGGAAGACAATAGAAAGGCTTTGTGTGAAAGAGCTAGTGTCGTTCACAAGAGAATAGAATTTTTAAGAAATTACAACAAATTTAAAGAAGAATGTTCTTCCTTCGTTTATTTAGACGAAACATGGATTTTTGCTAAAGGCGGTATCAAACGAATGTGGCAGGACGAGAGTATAAAATCCATAAAACACATCGATAACGAGGGAAAGAGATATATTATAGTACATGCAGGTGGAAAATATGGTTTTATTGAGGGAGCAGATCTTGTGTTTTCATCAAAATCAAAATCAGCCGATTATCATGACAATATGAATACGGAGATGTTTGTTAAATGGTTGAAAGAAAAACTGTTGCCAAGTTTACATGAACCATCCGTTATAGTACTGGATAATGCTGCGTATCATTCGGAAATTTTAAATAAGCAACCAACAAACACCTGGACTGTAGATAAAATAAAAGAATGGTTAACGAATAAAAATATTACATTTCCTCAATACTGTTTTAAGCCTCAATTACTAACGTTAGCTAAAAGTCATGCACAACCAAACATATATATAGTAGACGAAATTATACATAGCTTTGGACATCGTGTGTTAAGACTACCGCCCTATCATTGCCAATTCAATCCAATTGAATATATTTGGGGGATTTGCAAAACATATTATGATAACCATATTGGATACAAGGGTTACAGTGACGGGGCAGTCTTGGAAACATGGCAACAAGCATTGGATATTGCCACTCCTGAAATTTGGGGAAAAAGTGTAAAAAATGTGAAGACTTAATTAAAGAATGGTGGATCCGTGAAGGCCGCATCGAAGCAGTTAATCCTATTATAATTTACCATCCAAATGAGGATAGCGACGACAGTGATTATGGCTGTGAATCTGATGGTTGATAATAGTTTTAGGAGATTAGGTGAATAAGAGAACAAGTAAGTTTTTTTGTTTTTTTAATACTAATTGAATATTCGACTAAATAAAGTACACTATTTAATCACTTAAGTATTTAATCACTTCGTTTAAATCACTTAATTAAAACACCAACTTGTTTAAAATACTAAACTTAATGATAGTAATTATATAATTTAAATTCTGAATTACAACTATTGTATAAACTATCAACTCTATATTTATATCATGACTTCATATTTAAATCTAAGGTTTATATCTGTCGTAACAGTATTTTAAAAATGGGGAGAATTTACTATTGTACAATGCAGCACATTGGACCATTTAAGTCGACACCTTAAAGTGAATTTAAAATAGTCGTATATTCGTGGAATGGAGTATAACTAAATGTAATTTAAAGGGTTTTTACCCTAGTATTTTGGTGGCTCAGGCATTGTGACCTAGCATTTTTTCGATTTTAAAACCTGATGATGGACTGTGTGGTCCGAAAACGTTTGTTTTATTGATGTAGCCCTTTTAAGGGTTTTTTAAATAAATATACCCATTTACGAAGACTAACCTCTTTTTTGTGATACGTGGTATACAGCCAGCTACAGGAATTTTTCCTTGTGGATTATGCATCGAGCAATAAGACAAAAGAGGGAATCTAATCCTTATGAAAAGGAGACCAAAAAAGTGGCCTCTGATGGCGGACATATCCGGAAATGCGAATGCGCGAAATTTAAATTTTCCGACACTTATCAACAGTAGCTATATAATATTTTTCAAAATGTGTCTTAGACGAGAAAGTTTTAATTAATTATTAATGATAAGAGTCTAAAATGCGACACAATTGTTAAAAAACTTCAATATAAATAAGATTTCATGTGACACTTTAGGGGAAGGTGTTATATTGGGAAGTAGTGTATTTTTAAACCACTTTTCGAATATAGTATTATAGTATTTATATTCTGATGATAATCTACACTACATTTTTTTATTATTTTTTTTTTCGCAAAGCAATAATCCATTTGGCACCCAACCATTTGTAGATCCACGGTACACAACAATCATCCGAGAACCTTTATTCGGAAGTACGTCTTTCAACTGGCACCTAAGTGAACCATGAGTCCAACCCTTGCTAGCGTTATTATGCGTGCCATACCATGTCTCTTCTAAATAATATTTAGTCCGCTGTTGTTCTCGATATTTTTAAATTTCTTTTAATAATCTAAACGCTAGTGTACTATTCTCTTACTTTCCATAATAGCCACCCGTTTATCAACGATGTTGTATTTGAACCTGAAATCTGAAGTTTTAGGTTTTATGTCAGCTTCTTCCCATCGCAACAAGCTTGGTGTATATAATATCAATTGTTGGTATTACATTTTTTTGTTGTATTTCTCGGAAACCGAATTCCTTAATCATTTAACAGTCACGATATTAATTTGTTTGGGTTTTCCAGCATCCGATCTTGGTTTTCCATTTTTAACACCACTTTTTACGATGTCGCGCATGGTAGAATAAGGAATTCTTGTTAGAAAGGCCGCTTTTCTTATAATACTGCCTTTACAAGGGCAGTATTTTAAGACTTTGTGAACGTTCATTTCTTTGGAAGTCTTAAACACTTTTCTGCAGTTACAGTCCCAATGTCATTGTTTTTTGTATCACTTACACCTAAAAGATTGTTGACTACTACATTTTCTGTACTACTACTTAAGTTGTCTTGCTTCCATGCATGAAAAGCTATAGGTGATTTTTCCCATGGTCTAAACATTTTCTTTATACACAAATAGACAGTTTCAAGAAAACAAAGAACAAAAAAATACTACAATCATTATACCGACTAACAAAAAAAATTTAACACAACTCAAAATTAAAGCAATGCACAATGCACATCTATGTATAAACAAGCTAGTTAGTTGCAAAGATACAACTAAACTAAAAATTTAGTTATTATATTATAATAAATAATATTTTATAATAAACAGAAACGAGTATCTTTGTGACATATATCAAACATCAAAATAATAATTATTGTGAGAAGAAAAAGTATGACAAAATCCCTGCCTTTGCATCTGATAAAAATAAATAAAACTACGCAGAGATTTTTCTCGATGCCAAACATTTTATCTGTATATTTCTATTTTTGTTTTCCTTTACTTGATTTTTAATTTCTTTAATCTCTGTCTGCTCTTCTGCCATCTTTTTTAACATTTTCCAAACAGTCTTTAACTTCTTTTATCGCTTTGTGTCTCATCTTCAACTTCTTCTATTTGAGTATTATTCACTCCTCTTCTATTTTTTTGTATTGTTTCCCGCTGATTTTCTTCCATTTTTTGTGATAGTAATTGCATCATTTGTAAAATTTGATCTATTCCTGATAATTCCCCTTGTTCCAACTCCATATTTTTAGTTCTTAAATTTTCTTTGCTTTTGCTTCTTGTGATCGACATTTTTGTAAGATTATTTATCCTCGCCATATATGAAGTTTTAAAATTCGTGCAATATTATCCCCGCCAAATATGAAATTCGAGTAATGTTCGAAATAATCTCGGGAAAGAGAAATGTGGGATGTAGGAGGATTTCCTGGTTGCGAAATTTAAGGGAGTGGTATGGGTGCAGTTCAATACAGTTGTTCAGAGCTGCAGCCAACAAAGTAAAGGTTGCTGTGATGGTAGCCAACCTCCGATAGGAGACGGTACTGCAAGAAGAAGAGTAATGTTGCAAGGACTAAAAACTTTTCCTCTTATCCCAAATGCAATAAATTCAAACAAATTCACTATATTTAAAAAAAATTGTCAATTGTAAAAAAAATCAATTAAATATAATAATATCAATCATGCGAAATTTGTACCTAGAGAAATTTTAAATGTTTGTCATAAAATGCAAATATATTAACTTTGACCATCAGGAAAATAAATTTTCAATCCCTGCTTTCGTTTCTCTATCCCTCTAAATTTCAACTAGAAATACTTTCTAAGCTTTACACGTTGGGGAAATTTGTTATGTTATTACTTTTTTTACTTGATCAATTGAGCAAATCAAAAACATAACATAACAAAAGTTGTTCTCAGGGTGAAAAATCTCCTTATATTAACCTATTTTCTGTGGGTCCAAAGATTTCTTAGTTGTCCTTTATTGGGATAGAGAAAAAGGATAATAACAAAAATAGTGTGTTACCAAAAAATTTGTATTCTTTATTTTATTTAAAAAATAATAAAACAATTACTGACTTTTGCCGTTATCTTATTAATCAGCGTAAACAAATACAATAAAATTTTCACAAAAAGAATATTTTAAGTCTTCTCAAAGACAAAACCAATTTAAAGCCAATTGCAATGAATATCTTAAAAACCTTTTATCTTTCTGATTTTTCAATATTTACTTTATTGCAAAAACAAAACTTTAAAAAATGAAATGAGGTTGAATGCTCGAATAAATGAACTTTGAAAATAAGGCTATTATCGAGCACACACATATATATATATATATATATATATATATATATATATATATATATATATATATATTCTATAGGTTATTCATCTATTAGGTTTTCGCATAGGTTTTCGTAATTTTCCCTTCGATTGAAACGTACATTTTTCCATGTCTATAAAACTTTTTATTCTTCTTTATTTTTATTAAAGATTGTTTAAAGCATTCTGTATTGTCTGCTGCCTGTTTTCTCAACCTGCGTTTTACGTCCTAGTTTATGTTTTATTTCTGATTTTTCTTCTTTCTCTTTTTTTTATTATTTCATATAGTTTTGCTGCTACACATAATAGGGATATATATACCTCTATAGTTTATTGTATTTCCCTTTTGTTTACTGTCGTTACTTTACGTATGAACAGCCGTTTTAAGTCCAACAAATAGATGTAATATAAGAAACTTGATATAGGGCGTAGAAAAAAGAACAAAAGCATTGAAGTGAACAAACAAATGTTACATATTTATTACAAAATAATTTATTAATCATATATCATAAAACTTATTATTTACAGCATTTCCAATACAGAGCCGCACCGCGAAAGCAGTTTCAATAGCATGCTGTTTGGTCTTTAGACAATTTTCAATAATGTACCCTGCTTTATCACCATATTCCCGACGTATATATTCTGAAGCTATATCCATGTTTATCGTGTTATTATCATTAATTATATTTAGAATTTTATAAAAGCAGTGAATGAATTTCTTTGTGCTAGAATCGTGTTGTCCATTTTTAACATTGTCCAAGAATTGCTGGTATGGCAAGTTATTTTCCATAGCGCATTTTATCAGTGTCTCCTTAACGGTAGCATCGGTATTCGTCAAAGAAGGCTAAAAAAAAAACAATTGTGTTATACTTCTTTCATAATGATAATGATCTCGGTAATTAATATATTCTGGGTTTGTTGCAAAAACTCATTAGATGAATTTCGAGATAAAGGCACATAAAAAACAGTAATGTATTTTGTGTCATACAACAATGTTGTATTTTCTAACTTTTGTTATAGTACTATAAAACAATTATATTTGATGTATTTTTAATTACTTTTTCTTTCAGTTGTAAGAGTTTAAGTATCGAATTATAATAAAAAGTATATCAGCAATGAATTTATTAAATAAAATACCAAATTTTTATCCTAGATTGGTCAGATTTTGATTATATTGAGGAACAACATCTGGTGGAAGACGTCGATAGTGATATATCCCATGGTGTTTAAGAGAAATAACTTCCTTAACAGAATTTAAGAAAATTTCATTGCAGTTGCTTTTTCGAATAGTACGAGGTCGTTGTTCGAAATTATTTTTTGGTACAGGCTGAAATTCTCATATCTGAATTCAACAAAATTTGGTAGTGATTTCTTAAACCACTTAACTTTGATCCAATTGATTCTTGTAATATTACAATTATCAATATCAGTAACACTAAAAGAAACACCTACGCAATATGTTATAAGATGTATAGATTTGAATGTTCAAACTGGCAGCAGAACAGGTGTTGAAAAAATATCTGTAGGAAAATTTGGGTCAGACCAATGCAATGAAGGAGGAGGAGAACCCCTGGTTGGATTTCTGCTTCAGAATAACTTATTTCAAATGAACAGTTTCTTTCATAAAAAACACCAAAAAAGATCAATTTGGCAAAGCCCGGATAGCAAAACTAAAAACAAAATAGGCTATATAAGTAGCTCCAAAAGAGAAATCGTTATAAATGTTAATGCTCGAAATAAATTCGATACATATGGGTATCGAATCGAATGGTATCCGCTAAAGTTAAAAACGTATCTAAAGAAGGAAATACATTGATTATCAAGAAAAAATGAAGTATACACATGGACACAACCCAGTGACGTCAAAATATGTTAATATGACATTGACACTAAATTGAAACCAAATACAAGGACACGTCATTAATATGAAGAATGAAGATATAATTGCTCCCAATGAATGCATTACACAAGGTAACGGAGAAAGTCAAAATAAACATCCGAGAAAGTCAAGGAGATATAACTGATCTTAAAAATTATCGACCAATTAGCCTGTTAACACCTATGTACAAACTCTTTCCAAGAATCATAACAACGAGAACATACTTCAAGCATTATATGAAAGTCGCATTGATATCCGTTAATTCAGATTAGTAAACAATATTTATAGAAATGCGACAAACGTAATAAAGTTACTCGAAAATACTAACGAACTTAAAAATTCAAGGAGGTGTTAGACAGGGTGACACACTATTCAAAAGCTTTTTATAACTAAAGCTCGGATTATAGGCAAAATGCCTTTTTTTGCCTATTTTGCCTATTATAAGTGTTTTTTTGCACTTTTTGCCTTTTTTCGTAAATTCCGCCTATTTGTGCCTTTTTTAAAATTTCATGGTACTACCCATGATATTATTCTATTACTAAACCATTCTATAATAAAATTTTGGGTCAATAATAAAATATCAATGGTTTGTTTATATAATAGATTTCTAGGAAAATGTACCTGATCGAGACTTGAGGGTTAACTATTTGGAAATCCCTAAGCTTTATTAGTTTATTATCAGTTGTACAGTCGGTTACTGTATCAGAGTTTACTCACAAATTAGCAAATTGCTATATCCTAGTTTAGTTTTGTTGCGTATACCGAAAAGCAAAGAACACGTTTTAAAACGTTCAAGACAGTTGTGTGAAAAGATGACATCTAAATTAAGGCTATGGATCGCACCTTATTCGGAACTTTCTCTAGAAGGAGATGGAGCATTTTGTAAACCATGCGGCAAATCGGTAAGTTTTATTTTTTTTTTCTTTTTTTCTCGTCCCACAACATAACTAAATTCTAAAGCGGTTTTAGAATTCTAATTATTTTTTTTTAATTCTCAGATTTCAAGTAGAAAAAAGTACTTTATTGACCAGCATTGTGGAACCCCACTTCATAAACGTAATTTGGAAAAATTAAATTCCTCTAAGTTAGCCCAAACATCTCTGCGGGATAGTTTAAGCAGTTCAAAAAAAAAGGAGGAAGACGCATTTAAATTTGATTTATGCCAGATGATGATTTCATCCAACATTCCTCTATATAAAGTTAATAACCCTAGTTTTAAACGCTTTTTTGAAAAATATCTTAATAAATCCTTACCGGACGAGAGTACATTGAGAAAACATACTGTGGAAAAATGTTATGTGGAATGTATTTCAAAAATTAAGCACGAGTTGGAGGGCAATTTTTTGTATATTATCGTGGATGAAACGACAGATGTATGCGGCAGGTATATAGCTAATTTAATGATTGGAATTTTGAACGAAAACTTTGCGAGAAAACCTTATTTAGTTGCCGTTAAAGAATTGGAAAAAACAAACAATTTAACAATAAGTCGATTTATACAAGATAGTTTAACAAACCTCTTTTTACCCAACGCTATACCAGTGAATAAAATAGTTTTAATGCTTTCAGATGCTGCGGCATATATGTTAAAAGCTGCTGTTAATTTAAAAATTTTTTATCCTAATTTAATTCATTGCACTTGTGTAGCCCACGGGGTAAATAGAATTGCTGAAGAAATAAGAAATCTGTTTCCGTTGGTAAATAATTTTATAAATTTTATGAAAAAAGTTTTTGTAAAGGCTCCGTTGAGGGTGCAAATATATAAAGAAAGACTTCCCGGTGTCCCTTTGCCACCTAAACCAGTAATTACAAGGTGGGGAACCTGGCTCGAAGCAGTCTTTTTTTACTTTGAACACTGCAATGAAATAGAATTAGTTATGTCAGAATTTGATGATGATATTTCCGAAGCCATTCGAGAAGCAAAAAAATATTAAAAAATCCCAAATTGAAACAGGAACTCGGTTATATCAATGACAATTATAAATTAATAGTTACCACAATTACCTTATTAGAAAAACAAGAGATAAATTTATGTGAGTCAGTAAAATTAATAGATAATTTAAAGACGAAAATTAAATCGGCACCTGGAAGTAACGGTCAATTAATTTTTAAAAAAATGAAATATGTTTTCGACAAGAATGAAGGTTTTTCGTTTTTATCTAATGTTGCTAAAGTTTTGAATGGGACATTTTCCGAGGAATTTCAAATTATGCCAGATTTATTATCCGCTCTGAAATATGCTCCAATTACATCTGTCGATGTCGAACGTTCGTTTTCAATGTACAAATTAATTTTAAGTGATCGAAGACATAGTTTTAAGACCGAAAATATTGAAAAACATTTAGTTGTTTCTATTAATGATAAAATTTTAAGTGGTTACAATGTTTAATTATTAATTAACAGTTATTTAGTTACTAGTTTATTTATACTAATGTTATGATTATGATGTGTAAATATACTTGCCTTAAGTTAATATTACGTTAATTTACTTTGTACAATAAATAATAAGTTATATTCCTTTATTGCCTATATTTTGCCTAAATGTTAATATTCCTGCCTTTTTTAATAAAAATCTTTGCCTATATAGGCGCCTTTTTCTTCAATTTTTGTTGCCTATAAATCCGAGCTTTATTTATAACTGCCGTAAAACATGCTTTTAAAACTCTTAAATAAGATCATAATGGGGAAAGACTGCAGCACATAAGTTATGCGGATGATATAGTTTTGATACGAGATGACCTAGGCGAACTCAACACTATGTTAGAAGAATACGTGCAGGTACCTGTATTAGAATAGACAAGGAAATCCAAACAGGTAACGTAACAGGAAGAATAACACATATATGGGCAGCATAAGAAGCTCTTAAAAACGTATTTAAAACACGGCAACATACCAATTAATATGAAGCAGAACCTACCTAGATGCCTATGTCTTGCAGTGGACTTAAAACCGGCTGACAATGATGATGATTATTGCAATCAATTGACAGTTTTTAGCAAATCCCTCAATAAATATCGCAATTCTAGGTATTCAATAAACTTAAGTTCTCTGCTAATGCATGGTATGGCATAAATTTTATTTTTTTTTTGTGCGCAGATCTTGCTATTGTAAAAGTAATTAGAAAATCTTTCAGGACATTAAAAAGTTAATACTTCTTCTTCTCAGTAGCGGTGCGTGAAGTGAGGAACTGAACAACCAAAAACCGGAAACCTGAACAGTCTCACCTGAAATAGGGTAACCAACCCCGGTGAATGGTAGGATCAGGGCCAACGAAAACGGGAGCTATATCGCAAGACGATAAGCTTCGGAACAGGACGGATACCAAAAACGGAAACTAGTAACGAATATGGTATATGATTATAGGAATATGGAATGAGCTCAACTTGTTCAGACCAACTTCAGCTAACAGAACTATTTAATAGCTAAAAAGGTACTAAATAGATATAACAGCCCTCCAAGAAATTCTCAACCCCAAAAACCATAAGTGTCCAAAGTAACCAGATGAGGATGTAGTGGAGATGGATGGATGAATGCTATGATATTTTAGAACAAACAATAGATAAGGTACCAAAATAGGATATGTTAATAATACTTGAGAACTTAAATACAAACATTGTTAGAGAAAATACGCACAATGACTATGTACAACGTGTAACGAACTTCTTATAATAACCCCTTAGTAATGTCAAAAATGTTTCCCAGTAAGAATATTCATAAGGATACATGGGTAGAAGTAATGGTAAAACAAAAACCACGTAGGCCATGTACTAGCAAAAGCAAGATATTAAAGAAATATACTAGACAAAAGTAGTTAAATGCGAGCAGATCTAGAGTAATAAGATTGTCTAATAAAAGCAAAATTACCTACAAGGATAAAAACCAATGGAAGGACACAAGCACAAACTGAAAGTAAAAGATCAAAATATCGTAAAGCAATAAAAAAAGACCCTGAACTATAATGATAATATTATATCATTGGATACTATCTCTGAAAATCTGGAAGTCATTGTTCAGAAATCATTGTCATTCAGAAGTCATCAACAGAAAATCATTGTTCTTGCATAGAACAATCATTTCAAAACATAATATATAGAATATACCAAAGAATAGAGGTGTTGGTTAAAAAACCAGAAAACTGTCAAATATGACCACACAGGAATACAGATCAATAAATTCAGTAAATAGGGAGATGACGAATGATACAAGGAAAATACGAGGTATGACAAAATGCGATTGAGCTTAAAAATACATTAGAAGAACACAAAAGTTCAAAGGTTATATGCAGAAAAACGCAAATGGGGAAAAATAGATACAGAAGATAAAAAATACAATAGAAGGCGAGATTATATCAGCTCTGAAAGAGACAATTACTAAGATACAAGGTGAATATAGCATTGGACTTGAGGCAATTCCAAAAGAAGGAGGACAAAAACTTATCGAAGGCTTAAAAAAATCTAATAAATGTTTGTTTGAAGGGAAAATTCCATCGTATTGGTTAAATGCTAATAATATTAATTAATTTATTTCTTTGTTTTAAAAAAAATAGGCAGATTTCAGATCAAGGATCGGAACTAATGATCATCTTATCGTAACGAAAGTTCTAATCAAGCAATGCATTGAAACACTTGTTTTCGTAGACTTCAAAAAGGCCTTTGACTCAGTAAATTAACAAGAGCTCTTAAATTTATTAGCCAAATGTAGAATAGGCCATTGATAGTTATCAACAATCAAATATACTTGCAAGAACTCAACATCAATGTTAAAATACCAATACACATAAAAATTCAACATATACAGAAAGGTAAGACGAGGTGATATACTCTTTCAAAAAATATTTGTGGCCCTCCTGCAAGATATACTTAATAACATAGAATGGAGATCAGCTGGGATCAACATGAATCAAAAAATGCTACATCACCTATGTTTTTGCGGACAATGTTATATTGATTATACGTAATATCCAAGAAGCACAATATATTCTGAAAGTGGTGGAAAAATCATGTTAAAAAAGTCCATTTAAAAATAAATATTTCAAAAGCCAGTTTATGACAAATCTAGTGACTAATGCTCCTCTATAAATAAATAATTAATAATAATAATGAATAATAAGAAAATAGCATTAACATCACTCAAGTAGCTAGGTATAAGTATTTGGGGCATGAGATCATAGGCATCGAAAGAGATAATTAAACACATGAGATCCAAAGAAGAAAAGGTTTTACCTGGAACTTTTTAAAAAATTAGTTATTAAAAAAAAAGTACATGATAAAGTCTGATACTTTCATATGGCTGAAATGGAAAGGTTTTCAATTAATGTGTACTCTGTGTTCTAGCCTATGCTACGAAACATTAGACAAAAAAGATATTCAAAAAATATATATATATATATATATATATATATATATATATATATATATATATATATATACTGCAGAAGATGGAAAGGTCGATGCCAGGAATAAGTCAAAAGGACCGTTTGTAGAATGACGGAGGAGCAGTGGGCGAGAAAGATAGTGAAATGATGTTTGAGACACGAAGCGTACAGAAGTAGAGGCAGGCCACTCAGAAGTTGGACCGACGACATAAAGATATTTGCGGGAAACTCGCTAAAATACCTAATATAGAGAACAGTGACAACAACTTAGGGAGGCCTACGTTCAGCAATGAACCCTTTTAAGATATATACCGGGTGGTGAATCGCCAAACGGGCCATAGGAAATTCAATGTAAAATTCTAAATTGTTGAATTCCTGCTTCCCTAATTATTTTACATCAAAAGTCATAAGAAACTATTTGTAGAGGACTGAAATATGTAGTAATAACAAATGTTAAAATTGTTCTACGAATTAAATGTATTCAAAAATTTTGTAAAAATATAATACATTTTTCAGACAACCCCCCAAAGTTAGGCAATACGAGGTACAAGAATGTGTATGACATGTTGCGTTTGGTCACATTGATGATTCTGATATTTGACAATATTTGAATTGTCAATATTTTTATTTTGTGATTAAATTATACACAAATACTAAAATACGCAAATTTTTACAAATACTACTCTACAAGTGTAGTGTTGTTTACAAAGCAATAAAATTGATGAAATGTATTCAGTTCATATGAACGGAATTTATTCCTTTTCAAAAATTTTAAGGCCGTAGAATTATAAATATTAAACTGGTCTGCAATGGTTCGAGAACTTATTCTACGATTTTCTCATCGAGCAATAAGATAAAAGAGGGAATCTAATCCTTATGAAAAGGAGACCAAAAAGTGGCCTCTGATGGCGGACATATCCGGAAATGCGAATGCGCCAAATTTAAATTTTCCGACACTTATCAAAAGTAGCTATATAATATTTCGCAGAATGTGTCTTAGACGAGAAAGTTTTAATTAATTATTAATGATAAGAGTCTAAAATGCGACACAATTGTTAAAAAACTTCAATATAAATAAGATTTCATGTGACATTTGGGACAAACAATAACATAACCCAACTAAATTTGATGTCAAACAAGGAGAGAGACTCTCTTTCCTTGTTTAATGTGGCCTCTAAAGATCGCACTTCCTGTCTAACAATATGTTTGCCCCCACTACCTTTACATTCCTCTATTGTCTTTTTGCTCGATGGATTTTCTACAACTGCTGGTAATACATTTATTTTATTTTGTTTTTCTAAATTTTTTGTTACCTCAGCAATATTGTTTGTACAGGTATAATTAGAAATCACGGTCCCATTATTTTCAAAATTTTGTTAAATTCTTTGAATTGTTGAATATCTTACGATAAATAAAGAACTGACAATTTGCGCACTATTGAATAAATAAAACATTTTTATTATTGCTAGTTTCTCCTCAACTGAATACATTTTTTAATTAACTATACTGATTGTTTTTTTAAACATTAAATCACAAAAAAAAAATTTTGGAAATTCAAATATTGTCAAATATCAGAAACATAAATATGACCAAACGCAACATGCCATACTCATTATTGTCCCTCGTGTGACCTGAATTTGAGGGGTGGCCTGAAAAATGTATTATATTTTTACAAAATTTTGGAATACGTTTAATTCTTAGAACAATTTTAACATTGTTTTTTAATACATAGTTCAGTCCTCTACAAATAGTTTCTTATGACGTTTGATGTAAAATAATTAGGGAAGCAGGAATTCAACAACTCAGAATTTCCCATTGAATTTCCTATGGCCCGTTTGACGATTCACCACCCTGTAGAGATAGGAATGCAAAAAAACACAGCTAAAAAAAATTTCTGGAACGCCAGTTTTTATCATTAGATATTGATTTCTGGGTCTACCAGAAAATGAAATTTGGAAAGAATACCTAACGGCTAAATACTAAAAAGCTATGATACACAAACTACAGTAGATAGAGAGCTAATTTGGCGTGTTCAAAGAATGGATGAAACACGACTTCCTAAGCAAATACCAATTGGGTGGGTAGCAGTTGAAAGAAGAAAAGAGGAAAACCAAAACACAAACATGGTTAGAAGGCGTTCAAACGAAAATGTGAAATTAACAAGAATCAACAATCTTTTGTTGACAAGATACAATCATTTCTTTATAGAAGCTCTCTTGGGGCTTATCCATTATCATTTTCTCTTTCTTGTACAATAAAAAAAAATTCAGAATTTAAAACAAAAGATTATTTACAAAATATTTTATCGCAAATATATAATTTACCTTTAATTCATAATTGTAACAACCAATAAAAATTATTCAAATAAAAAAAATAAAGTTCAAAAACTCTTCGTACTTACCCCAGCAATAACTAAGTATGCCGATAAAACTAGTGCCACAACAATTTTAAGCATTTTAAAAGATTTAGAATGTTGAAACTAACAATAGGTAGGTATGTTTTATACTGACTTAGACAACAGCATTTGTCTTGGCTTATAAACCTGTTTTTTAATTGTGTGTTTACAAACTGGCTTCATTAAGTTTATTCATAATATTTAATAATTAATTATCACCTTTGATTTTTATATTTTGTCATTCAATCGGTACAAGGTGGATCATTAACGCAAAAAATATTATTGTATACACAAACTGGAAAATTACGAGGTTCCTAGACAATAAACAAAAAGAAGAGTAGATGAGTTCTTGATAAATTCACAAATTAAAAAAGAAAATACTATTATGATAATATAACTATAATGAAAACAACTTAAAATCTGTGGCTTGGAGCTAAAAGGGCCAATGTCAAGATTTTGCTATTTTGAGTACACCATGCCATTCGATTTTCTTTTATTACAACTTTCATATGTTAAAACGGCCAATGTCAATTTCAACCAATACCCGATCCATAAGTTTAATGGTGGCCAATGTCAAGATGAATGAATTCACATCACGTTAAGCTAAAAGGGCCAAAGTAAACTTTGGCCCTATCTTTATAGAAAATATTTTTTATCACAAAACAGTGGTAAGAAAATTGAAGTGTGTCAAAACATGTTTTTTAAATACATTTGACATAAGTTTGAAGAAAGCGCGAGTAATTGTTGAAAAGAAACGGTCTAACCGGAGGTTTATGTCCGGAAGATGGACGTGGAAACATGGAAAGCAATCTAAGGTTCCAGAAAATGATAAACTCTTGATAAGAGAACACATAAACCAATTCCGGTCTACCAAAGTCACTACTCCTCGCGCTCCCATACGCACAAGACTGTACTTGTCATCCGACCTATCTATTGCTGAAATGTTACCGACTGTATGTCAATTATTGTAAAGACAGAAATATTCAACCGCAAAATGCCTGATGTATAGAAAAGTATTTGTTGAGGAATTCAACCTCTCTTTTCATAAGCCTAAAAAAATGATACGTGTGCAAAATGCGACAAGTTTGAGATGCAGTTAAAATGTTGTAACAGTGAGACAATACGAACGTCAATCGAAGAAGAAAAAACAGTCCATTTACAGTTAGCTGAGTCCGCCTACGAGTCAAAACGAAGAGATAAAGAAGAATGCAGTAATTCAGGTTACGTTACCATTTCCTTCGATTTACAAAAAATGCTTGCCTACTCCCTACCTCAGAAGTGGTTTGAGTTTTATAAAACGCCAACTGTGACGTTTAACCTCACTATCTATCAAACCATGGGAAAACAATCATCTTCCATATGTTACGTTTGGAATGAAACAGTGGCTGGCAGAGGTGGACAAGAAATTGGTTCCTGTATTTACCATTACCTGCATAAACTCACAGAAGAAAATAATAATATTCATACAGTAACCTATGTACAGCGATTCTTGCGGAGGACAAAACCGCAATATATTTTCTCTTGTTTGGTTTGTAAGGCAGTAAAGATTCCATTGATCTTTCCATGTCGCTAGCTGGTTTTTTTTAAATATCCTAATGGCATCTGATACACATAAAGAATATGGCAGTAAAGTGCCTGATATTATACTGGTTTTAGCTAAGTAATCTACATATTCATTATCTTTGAGTCCAATATGTGCCTTAACCCAAATAAATTTTATATTAAAGCCAGAGTCTACTAAGTGCTTTAATTGATCTTTTATTAGAAAAATATAAGGATTACTAAATGTTTTGGACAAAAAAGTGTTTTTTATGTTCTGTAGAACTGAAAGAGTCACAACAACAAATTGAGCAACAATATTCTGAGATTTGTTTTGAACTGTTATAGTGATGCCACAGTTATATACACGGACGCATCCAAATCAATAGAAGGGACTGGCTGTGCCTATTTTCTACCCTCAGGAGGTTCTGAATTTAAGTACAAACTTTCCAAGGAGTTTTCAATTTTCTCGGCGGAATCATTGGCTATACTCGAAGCTTTGAAATATGTTAAAAACTCTTATATTAAGATAGTTACTTTTATTAGAAAACATGTTTTCAATTAAAGATGTATACAGCGGCCAATTGGCCTTTTTGATGTTCCACTTGCTTTTTGGGTGAATTGTTTCCTGCGATGTGTAGGTTATTGAAAAATTCATAGTTATTGCAAAATGATTGGAGCCTAAGGTGTCAGATAAAACTGACCAGGTGATTTTACTAGCTATATTAGCTGTGCAAAGTGATATGTCAATCATCGATTTTTCGGTACCATATCTAGGAAGATAGGTAGCTTCACCAATATTTAAAATTACCAGATCTAGATCCTCGGCACTACTAACAATTTGTTGACCAACTGCATCATTTTGTAATGAGCCCCATAGTGAATTATGAGCATTCATATCTCCTCCTATTATAAAAGGTGATTTGACTTGTGAAAGATATTTATCCAATCATTTTTGGAAGTACGAATTTTAGGTGGTCTATATATAGATAGAAAACTTAATTCTGTTGTATTAATTTTAACGGTAGCACCGCAGACTAAAATTTCATCGTTAAAATTGTTTCTAATATTTATTTGACAAAATGGTATGGTTGTTTTAATTAAAATTGCAACACCTGCGTACCCGTCATATCTATCTTGGCGAATTACATTGTAATATTTAAATATATAATTCTGATTTGGTTTGAACCAAGTTTCGCTTAATAAGGCAATGTCAATATTTTCAGTTGTTAAAAAATGAACTAATCTGTTTTTATTCGAAACAACGGATCGAGCGTTCCATTGCAAAATTTTTAATGATTTAAGTTCTGTGAAGATGTTATTTATTGATAATATCCTCCAAAATTGTTTTTATTCCATGGTAAATACTATCTTGACTTATTGTTTTTATATCATCTACAGCTTGGATATTTGTGATTAAATTAAAAATGTAATTGGAAATAAGTGTTTGAAGATCTGTCTGATCTTGTTTATTTTGAGAATTAGGGATGTTTAAATTAGCAGGAAGGGGTCTAGAGGGCCCAAAATTAAAAGGAAACATAGGTGTGGTATGGGGGGCCTGGGGGGTAGGAGAGATTAATTTTCGTTTTTTTCGCTTTGCTATAGCGACTTGAGGAGAGTTGTGATGTGTTATTTGATGATAAGTTTTGGTTTGTACGCGTGATTACTTGTGTGGCAGCAGAATTGGTTGAATTTTTTGTGAATGTTGGCAGGGGAGGAAAACTGTTTCCGTTATTTTCTAGTGTGGAATATCTATTCTGAGTGAATAATCCCGAAAAGGATGATTCACAATAAGTTTTTGCCCTGATGAAAGAAGTTTTTTGCTCAATCATAACGGTTTTGATCTTCTTCTGCAGTTCATACTTTGGACATTTCTTGGAAATGGATACATGATCCTTACTATTGCAATGGATGCACTGAATAGCATTATCCTGGCAAGCATGACATTATTGGTTTTTTCCGCATTTTATGCAATGTGCCTCTGTACTCCGACACTGCTTGGAGATATGTCCAAATCTCAAATAATTATAACACTGAGTAACCTTGCCAATATAGGTTTCCACAGGAAAAAATACACTATTTATTGCAATATAGCTAGGTAAAATATTTCCCTCAAAGGTGACTATTACAGTCCTCTTCGGTACATAGTTAGTTTTTCCTTCCGTATCAACCCTTCTAAAAGTTCGTTTGTAACCTAATATGGGAGATTCACTGTTATCTAATAAATAATTTTCATCGTATTGGGTATCAACATCTCTGATTAGACCTTTGATTTCTAGTAGATGATTAGGAATGTAAGCTACCAAATTTTCATTTTTTAACTTTAAATTTTTAACCAAATTATTTGCATCAGAAATTGACCTTAACAAAACTTTAATTCTGTTTTTTCCAATGCCTTTAATTTCAATAATATTAGGAATATTCAATTTTTTATGCAAAATATGCGCAACTGTTAAAGGATGTAGACGACCTATATTTTCATTGTTTGTTTTTTCTATGTAAACATAAACATTATTAAAATTGTACTTATCTGATTTAATGTTAAAAAATTTTTTAGCTACTGTTTTTTGCGCTTCAGGTTCTGGCAAGATTGTAGTACAGTCACTGGTTTTACTCGCATTTTTCGCTGTCAAATCATCAAAATTTTCGAATCAACTGGATTCATTAATAGGCATTTCACTATTCTCACTAACACATGAAAAGTTTAAATCACCTATTGGCGTCTCTGGGGAAATTGCCTCCCCCATGGGGGAGTCGTTTATATACTTATTTATTACACTGAGTTAATGTCAAACTTCGAATCACCTGTATTAATTTAAAATCGAGTTAATTAGTAGAAAAAGACACTGGGCACTGATTATTTACGACCTATCGCTTCGAAAGTTCGAATAATACTGTTCCCATATGTTGCCAACTTAAGTAGACATACTGTACGTATGCCCAGTGAAATGCCCAGCAACTATCGTTCCATGGCTTTTTGAATGTTCCTCAACTTTTCCAAATATGCTTTGGTAAATGTCAATGTCTGAGTTGCATCTGTTGGTACAGATAGGATACAAAAAATAAATCCTTTGAAGTTTCTGAGGTATTTTTTTATTTTTCAGTACATAAAACTTTCCAAATCGTTCTTACTCTTCTATTTATTTCCGTTGTCTGATTTTCTTTATTTAATTTTATACTTTTACCTAGTTAGATTTATTCATCTACATGTTCCACGACGGTTCCTTGCACTGTTATTACCTTGTCACCTTAATTGGACATGAGTTCAATTTTTTTGAGGGTAATTTTAAGTCCTTTTGGTGAGATTTTGTACCTCTTCCATTATTCTCTCCAATTTGTTGCCGAAATTATCTAATTGCCGAAACGTTTGTACGGGCATTACTTAGGAACGACTGCATAAAATTAGATAATACTTTTTTTGTTGTATTTGTTATTATCAGAAGAAGATTTGTGTAAAACCTCATTTTCAAAAAATTGTACGAAAAGACCTTGAAAACAGTTTTTCTGACATTTTAAATTAAAATTTTATAATAATAGATAGTGTTGATAGATTGACATAACGACATC